GAAGGGAGCCAATGCTCAGGTGGGCGGGGCGGGCCAGTGTGCAGCCCTGCCGCCCCTGCTGCCCCTGCTCCCTCCCGGCCAGGCCTTGCCTGCTCTTCCTTTCACCCTCGCAGCCCAGGCTCCCAACCCCACGCCCTGTCCACTCCCATTTCCTGTTGTATTTTTTTCATGTTTTCTTCACCGTCTGACATTTTTTTCCTTTGTGTCTCTCCCCCTGAAACTGCCGGCCCCACAGAGGAGTGCAAGCACCTGGGACACGCAGCAGACACCCAGGGCTGCCCGGCCTCGGGTCCTCACCCGACCCCGGAGCAGGCGTCCCTTCTGCAGCCTCACTGGGCCTCACCAGGACCCCAGACTCCGCTGGCATTGGCCAGCCAGTTGGGTGGTGTCAGACTTGGGTGTGAGCATTGAGCAGTGTCTGTTGTCCTGTGTCCTGATCTCTAAGAGCCTCTAACCTCAGGACTCTCCTGTTCAGTTCTGCGTGAGACTTAGGTGAAATTCTCTAGCACTAGTTCCCAGTCCCTTTGTGTCGAGTGTCTTCATTTTATGCCATTGTCCTTGAGTAAATAATTTGCCAAAAGTCTCTCCCCTTTGCTCTCTGCCAGAGAAAGGCGGCATCTTCACTGCATTTCCGTCCCGCCACTCTCGGATCAGGGATGGGAGCGGCACAGCAGCCCCTCGTGGCAGGGAGCTGTGGCCTTTCTGCATGAGCTGCTGAGGGTGGGCTGGGTGGCAGGTGGGCTGCTGGGTGAGGTCTTTAGCCTCTGCCCTTCCTGGGAACTGTGTGCCCAAGGTCGAGCCCCAAGGCTCACACACAGGCTTCTTGGTGGAAGACACCCGTGTTGCTCGGCATGGTGGTGCGTGAGGTCAGTGGCCTCTGACCGGGTGTTGTACCCTAAGTGGGGTCTGCAGGTTGCTGGTGGGAGTATAGGCATTTCACATCACTGTGGCCCAGCACACGTGACCGGTCCCAGGTAGAGAGGTCCAGGTGTGAGAAAATCCATACTTGAACAATCCTACATGTACTTTTTTCTCATTCTCATCTCTCTGCTGTGCTGTGGTTGAAGTGGCAGTGCTTTTCGTTTCTTAATGGCACACAGCAGCAGGACAGCTGAGCCCTGCCATGTGGGGAGCAGCGTCTCCTGTCTGCCACCTGTGGGGCTGATGGTAAGGCCATTGCTCAAGTGGACAGCCCACCAGCTCAGATGTGGGGGCAGGACATGAGCTAGTGCAGCGGCCCAGTCAGAGAATCAAGCAGGTGCTTCAGAATCTACTTGGCCCAGGCCGGGCAGGGGCAGGCCAAGCAGGGCCCTGCTGACTCAGGGTGGCACCCCTGCTCAGTCACCTGCTGTTTCTGTCACTGTGGGCAATGGGTGTCATTGCCGTGAATCCCACTTATCCCATTGATAAATGAACAACGGCAGGTGCCTGGCGTCAGTGGGTGCTTCTCTCGGGTAGTGCAATGCCATCGCTGGGAACCAGGGAGTCTTGAGCTCAGAGGACACCGGCTGGTCATCCTGGAGTTCATGACAAAAATCTCTGAGCCTTCATTTTCTCTTCTACAAAACAGGATGCTGCCCATCCTCTGGGGCTCAGTTGAGATGACATGACCTTGTGTGCTCACCGTGGGCACAGCACTGGCTGTCCCTGCTGACTGCACTAGTGGGCACAGCCCTGCTGGTGCTCCACGTCCTGGCACGTGGCTGGTGGCCTCGCGCCGTACTGTCTCCCAGCATGGCCCCAGAGGAGGGCACTGCATGGATGCCAATGCCCCCCAGCCAGGGACAGCAGACGCTCCAGAGGCCCACCTGCTGCAACTCGAGGCGGCAGAGGGCTCCAGATCGGAGCAGCTTAGCCCCACAAAGACGTGTCCATTGCAGGCCTTGGCA